TCGCAATGGCTTCAGCCATTGCAAGTTTCTAGTTGATTGACTGCGGAACCTTCCGCAGTCAACCATTGGTTTTGTATTTCTTTATTCCGTCATTTTTTTTGACACGTTTCACAGCTTTCACATTTTCAACAATTTCCACAAGTTATACATCAAAACGTTCCACATGTTTGGGAGATTATTGCTATTACTTTTGGGACTTCAGCGATTTCCGGTTTTTTCCGCAATCGGACAAAAATCTGCATTGAGAATTCTGCAATGCATTTTAATAGGCCCATGCATTTTAATAGGACTTCAGCTCTTTCAGACATTTCTACAGTTTCAATGATTCAACAGTTTCAAGGATTCAACAGTTTCAAGGATTTCAGCAGTTTCAAGATTTCAAGAGTTTCAAGGACTTCAACAGTTTCAAGGACTTCAGCAGTTTCAAGGACTTCAGCAGTTTCAAGGACTTCAGCAGTTTCAAGGACTTCAGTGTAATCATGCAACCTAATAGGGATTTTTCCATGTAAACCAGTATAATGCAACTTAATAGGGATTTTTCCATGTAAACCAGTATAATGCAACTTAATAGGGTTTTTTCATGTAAACCAGTATAATGCAACTTAATAGGGTTTTTTTTCATGTAAACCAGTATAATGCAACTTAATGGGGATTTTTCCATGTAAACCAGTATAATGCAACTTAATAGGGGTTTTTACCATGTAAACCAGTATAATGCAACTTAATAGGGTTTTTTCCATGTAAACCAGTATAATGCAACTTAATAGGGTTTTTTCCATGTAAACCAGTATAATGCAACTTAATAGGGATTTTTCCATGTAAACCAGTATAATGCAACTTAATAGGGATTTTTCCATGTAAACCAGTATAATGCAAACTTAATAGGGGATTTTTCCATGTAAACCAGTATAATGCAACTTAATAGGGTTTTTTCCATGTAAACCAGTATAATGCAACTTAATAGGGATTTTTCCATGTAAACCAGTATAATGCAACTTAATAGGGATTTTTCCATGTAAACCAGTATAATGCAACTTAATAGGGATTTTTCCATGTAAACCAGTATAATGCAACTTAATAGGGTTTTTTCCATGTAAACCAGTATAATGCAACTTAATAGGGATTTTTCCATGTAAACCAGTATAATGCAACTTAATAGGGATTTTTCCATGTAAACCAGTATAATGCAACTTAATAGGGTTTTTTTCATGTAAACCAGTATAATGCAACTTAATAGGGTTTTTTCATGTAAACCAGTATAATGCAACTTAATGGGGATTTTTCATGTAAACCAGTATAATGCAACTTAATAGGGGTTTTTTTTACTGTAAACCAGTATAATGCAACTTAATAGGGTTTTTTCCATGTAAACCAGTATAATGCAACTTAATAGGGATTTTTCCATGTAAACCAGTATATGCAACTTAATAGGGTTTTTTTCATGTAAACCAGTATAATGCAACTTAATAGGGATTTTTCCATGTAAACCAGTATTATGCAACTTAATAGGGATTTTTCCATGTAAACCAGTATAATGCAACTTAATAGGGATTTTTCATGTAAACCAGTATAATGCAACTTAATAGGGGTTTTTACATGTAAACCAGTATAATGGAACTTAATAGGGATTTTTACATGTAAACCAGTATAATGTAACTTAATAGGGGTTTTTACATGTAAACCAGTATAATGCAACTTAATAAGGATTTTTCCATGTAAACCACTATAATGTAAACTTAATAGGGGTTTTTACATGTAAACCAGTATAATGCAACTTAATAGGGATTTTTACATGTAAACCAGTATAATGCAACCTAATAGGGATTTTTCCATGTAAACCAGTATAATGCAACCTAATAGGTTGCATTATACCACCAGACCAAGACCCAAACGAAGACTCAGACCACCACCAGATAATGACCACAGACCAGGTTTCCTTAGTTACAGGAACCAAATTGTTTCAGCGGTGAGGGGATTTTTCAGTTTCAAGGACACTTTCAATACATTCAGTAGTTTCAAGGATTTCAACTGTTTAAGAATGTAACCAGTTTCAAGGATATCAGGAGGTTCAAGGATTTCAGGAGTTTCCACACTTTCAACAGTTTCCAGGTTTAAAAAAGTTTCAAGGATTTCAGGAGTTTCAATGTTTCAACAGTTTCAAGGATTTCAGGAGTTTAAAGGTTTCAACAATTTCAAGGACTTCAGGAGTTTCAAATATCTATCAAGTATTTTAACAGTTTCAAGGCCTTTTAAAGGATTTCAAGGATTTTTTTTAGCAGATTTCCACATTAGATCTGTTCCGCAGTCAATCGCAATGGCTTCAGCCATTGCAAGTTTCTAGTTCTTAATGCAAAAGAAGCCAATTTGAACGAAAGCTAGCTTGAATTAACTTTCCATATATGGCCCATTAATACAGATGTGGGCCATATAAGGATTAACCAATTTGATACATTAATTCACAGGGAGTCTCCAGCTTTTCTTAGCAACCACCCTAGCAACCACCTTAGCTTCTTTCCTCTGGCAGAACACTTTTTGGCCTAACATCTACATCTCTGCATCTCAAGATGAATCTCAGGTGATTGTTGTGGTGGGCTGTGGGTACTGTGATCCAAATATCTGAGAATTATATTTATAAAAGTCTTCTTCGTGTTTAAGGCTTATAAGGTTATTTCAATAAGACATGTCTAAAACAGAAACTTTCTACACAGTATAAAAAAGATTGAATATATTTGGAATCAATTGGGTTTTTTGAGCAGAAATATTGGCTTTTGTTTAAAGTCGAGGGAATTACAACAAATCAGTGTGCATAAAGTTGTGCATATGTTCAAAATGAAAATGAATTCTAACGGTATACTATAGAAAGTGCTTGTACTTTGATCAGCCTCATGCTTTTAACGACACACTGTTTGATGCTGATTGAGGCAGTTCCAATGTTTTCTCTGGTGTTGTCTTTGATTTCATTACGGCGATCAGTAGTTTTGGATACTTTGAAGAGCGATTGAAACGTTTCGTCTCGCACAGAGTACAATCAAAACACACACACAAAAAAAAAACGTTTTATGTCAACGTGCAGATGACGTCAAAGAACATGGAAGATGAATACATGTGAAGCAACCTGTGGGGGCTTTGAGATTTGGGGAAAGGGTGACAAAACAAAGTAAGGGAAAAATGCTATTACTTTTACTAGGAAAATTGTCGTAAGTGTTTTTTTCAAGCTTGTATTATACAAACAGAAAAACATACAAGAAGATACAGAAGTATAGTAGAAAAAATATTGGGAAAAATTGCAATAACTCCCACTGATGTCTGCTGTCGTTACTGTACGTCCTTGGGCAAGACACTCAACATACTTTGCCCGAAGCCTGATTAGTGTAGGGCTGGTGCTTTATGAATTGGGTACAGCTCTGACTGCCACCCCTATGACCCAGAAATGGATTAAGGGGAAGAAGATGGATATTTAGAACATAGTGCATGCAAATTTAGAAATGTTTGTGTCTCTGTCTGAATGTGTATGTGTGTGTCCTGAATTGTGAAGCGTCTTTGAGTTTTTGAAAAGTGCTATATATGAAACCGATGTATTATCATTATAATTATAATTATTATTATTATTAAAATATAAAAAAACAAATAATTAGCGAACTGGGTGATTCTACATGAATATTGGATAAGGTGTGTATGTACTTTTCACCTGTTAATGGGTGGGCTTATGTGTTGTGGTAATGTTATTTGCAAAACGACATAAAATAGAAAGGATTTTAATGAATATTTTGAACGGATTAGAAAAAACATCTTGTGTGGTTTGATATTGGTATTAAAAGTTCCGCCTAGCCCTTGCGCTCTGTAATATGGTCACATTCTGGACATGTGATTGTTTTTGTAGTTGACTAAAAGGGGTAATCATAGTGGCAGGTATGGGGCTGTGGTGTGAGGAGTGGGAGCTGGGTGAGGAGAGATGGGTGAGGGAAATCCACGGCGAGATCAAAGGAAGGACGGGGATGAGATAGAAAAGAGGTGGGAGCGTTGTGTTGCGCCTTAATCACAACACAATACTCCTGGATTTAAGAATATAAACCTGGTGATGTGGTTAGAAGCTGCACAGAGAGGTGAAGGAGAGAAGAAAGAACAAGGAAAACAGACAAACAGTAGATGTAGATCACACATTTCCCGAACACGACACTTTCAAACATTAAAATGATTTTAAGTGTCCATTCATGTACTCATGTACTGTATTTCTGGTACCACAACCTTCTTACAATCTGGTTTTGCCCACAATAAGAAATATATTTAATGCCTTTGGTTATATGAATGTAATATAAGTGCCGAAATCTGACGTGTAAATGCACAGACCAGATAACACCTGTTAATGATGGTTTTTGGAGGAATGCACACAAAAATGTCAATTTTTTTCCAATCCAAGCTTCTAAAAAATGCAATTATGTCTGTGTAAACCAAAAAAATCCCTCTGCATGCGTTTGTTATTTTCCTATTTTATGAAACAATTTTATTATTGCTTTTTTATGGACTTACCTCAAGTGGTATAGTATTTTTACTTGATTTACATTCATGACACTAATAAATAAGTCAACACTCAAAGACAATGCTGATAAGCTAAGCTACTACTATAGCCACAGCTGCCCTGGGGCACACTGGCAGACTGAGGCAACCAGTATGTGACATCAGCGATCACCACCAACCATTCACACGCACACCAGACTCATCCAAAGCAATACGTCTGAAATGTTGCTTCTCTATGTCCACATACTTAACTAAACTTATTAAATATTGCTACTATTGACACTGACACTCAATGCCACATTTTGAGAAAAATTCTCAATAATTTCTAAGACTTTCTCAGAAGTCAGAAGTTTAAACTCAGTCAGTAAGGAAATAAAATCATATCTTTTCCCACAGTGTCTGTAATCGTCCAGCTTCCACTCTATCATTGATGTGTTTTCAGAGAAGAAAAAGCTAAAATATCTACGTTCAATAACGGCAAGACTTTAGACTTCCAAACACAGACTGTAGCCGTTGGCGTAGTTGTGGGAGTCCTCCATAACACTGCGACTCTTGATGCAGTCACCCACTATGTAACCGCTGAGTGGCAGGTCATGCGGCAGACTCTGGGGAGAACATGTCAAATGGACTGGTGTATACAGCCATACACAAGCACCACTCTCCTGTGTGGGCTTCCAGCAATGCAAGTGTACAAGTTCTGTGCAGAAAACTTATTGTTTCTACAAGTATTTAAATTCTCAACCAAAAGTAGAAAGTTGTGATATTCCTCCTGGCTATTCCATAGAGGACCATTTAGAGCTGTAATTGCGTCTGCTGTGATTCTGGGAACTGTGATGGTTTCTGCTTAAGGTTATCACACTCTTATATTCCTACGTATGCCTTCATCTGACTTATTATTTCTGGAGTTGAGACATAGAGAATGAAAATAGCTTGCTCAGATGGAAGAATAGATACAAGCTAGAAGCGTAATGATGCACAATTCCCAATGGACTCTTTAGCAGTGACTCCTGGGGACAACACAACACAGAGATATATGAAGAAACATGAGGGATGAAAACTCAAAATGAAAGAAAAGTGGCTCGTTTTTTTAGAAATTGAACACAAGACATTATTTCAAGCGTGGATGTGTGACAGCGAGGGATTGGAAAAATACAAAACATAATCATACCCCATCATACAACATAGGATTTTGAAGCAAAGAAAACTCCAGGGAGGTTGGCTCCACGTCTCAAACATAAATCTCCCATCACTCTGAGCATGTATGGATGCGGGTTGAGTATTTGGAGCTTGCTTTTATTTGTAGAAAGGGAAAATGGAAGTCTTTTGTGTCAGATGAGCCCGTTATGGAGATGGGCTCATGCACACAGCCTTGTCATTTGCGGTATAATCTCCCTTTGCCACTTGAATCCTAATATTAAAATCACTATCTGTACGGTGAGAGCAGAGTTCAAACCTTTTTGAGCCACAGAACAATGTTTTCAATGACAATAATCACATGGTACTACTCCTACTCAAATCAAAGGAATTCTACAAAAAAGGTTTTCATTAGTTTATTAATATAAAGTCATTTACACGGTTACCTTCAAATAAGTGCTAAAAATGCTGAAAATAACTTAAAGTACAGAAAAACAGTTAACATGCTAACTGCTACAAGAAACTTTCTCTTTACTGGTAGAAAAAAACAACTGAACCAAGTCTGTCCACGAACTGTCAATCCTTGTCCAGGACCGGTTTAGTGCCTGTCCAGGACCGGTCTAGTGCCTGTCCAGGACCGGTCTAGGGCCTGTCCATCCTGGACCAGTCCAAGAACAGCTTTGGAAAAAAGGTGCTTTAAATACTAAAGGAGGTTGGTTGCCAAGCGACCAAAATGACTACATTTGAATGTTAGAGTTCAAGGTAGAACTCCTCACATTTCAAAAATAAAAAATCATTTCATAAAAATAATGACATAGAAATAGATTACCGATGAATAAATGACTTATGAAGACCAAATGCAATTTGGAACTTGAGTAAGAGACTTCAGCCACATTGCCATTGCAGCTGCCATGCTAAAGTTGACTGATTAATTGATACTATGAGATCACCATGGACACAAACGGGTGAACGCATCAATGGAAAAGTTGCAGAGAGTAAAAAAGACATATTAATTTAGAGCACATATCTTTTCCTGAAGTGTGTGGCTTCTCGCTGATGCATCTTGCGTGACCTATTTGCATCGTGAAACTACCCGTCCCGTAGCCGTTTATACACACACCAAAAGGTCATTCATTCAATTTTCCATTTTTTCCCAATCCAAGCGCCTAAGAAATACAATTATTTCTGTGTCAACAAACAAAAGCCCTCCGCATGTGTTTGTTCCTTTCATTTATTGTATGAAACACTTTTATTGTTGCTATTTTTATGGACTGTTTACCTCGACTGGTAGTTTCAAGGCGGCAGACGCAAAACACAACATTATTTTTAGATGACTTGTGCCTATTCTTGTTGACGCTGGCGCCGTTTAACATAGATAATGTGTCAAATGAATGGCAATATTGTTTTTATTAAGACATAAAATAGCGGCTATATTTTGAGGTAGCTGAGCCTTTGTATGAACAGTTAACATTTATTACAGATATAAACCACAATATGGCGAGATTGCTATCAGAAATGATGGTCCATTCTTCTCACGCGTGGCTGACCTGGATTGCGTTCCTGGTCATTATTCAGACCTGATTTACTGATAATGACACATGGTTTGGTTGTAATGCATTGTTCATGATATTGTTCGGCGAAGATTAGTTCAAACTAGGATTTATTGTATGCCGATACAGATATCTAATGATCCAATACCACAGGCTGTTAATCAATCAGTCAACTTTTATTTGTTGAGCGCCTTTCCTACACAAGGCAACACAAAGCGCCTCACAACCCATATCACATCAGGCATAAATCATAAACATTAACATCTACATATACATAAAACAAATATAATCAATTCCCCACTTCTTCCAGAGGGATCAGGTTGCTTAACATGTAAAGCCCTGTTTCCACCAGCCCCACTTGTCCCTACTCAACTCTACTTGGGAGAGTACTTGGTTGTGTTTCCATTAGGTTGAGTACCTGATCTGGTGTCCTATAGCAACCTACCCACAATAAACCAGTATCCGTGGGAATTCCTTGGTAACCATGGCTTCCAGCAACACTCTGGCCAATCACTGTCAGTTAGAACACTCCAGCTCGTCCTGGACAGAACCAGGGCAGAGATGGTACCATAATAGTAGGTACTGGTGATACAGAGGCTGCTGGATAAACTACCAATTAGGGTAGAGTAAATATACTTTCTTATATACATGTAATTTTATAATTTTGTATCTGATTCTAGTGCTCAAAGATAAAAACAAAAATAAAAATAATCCTTCAGTTGTATGCACAGCTAACCGTTTTTAACCTGGATTTTGAAAGCTTTTCAGGAAGATTGTTCCAGATTATAGCTGCATAAATCTAATGACATTTATACTAATTTTATATTTAAATGAATTAAACTAAAACTAAATTCAACTCTGTATGTCCATATGTTGTATCCTTTAACAAAAAAAGCATTAAAGCCAAATAGTTGATATATTTTCAAACCTGATTACTTTAAATGTATCAATACTATACAACATGAATGCATCACTCCATACACATAGGTGATGGACTTCTACTGTACCCACAGCTGCCCTGGGGCATACTGACAGAAGCGAGGCAACCAATATGTACCATCACCCTGACTCTGACCACTACCAACCATTCATGCACACACCAGACTCATTGCAGACATCATGTTAGTGTCTTGCCTAAGGACACAATGACAGCTTGGCTCTCCAGTGTGGCAGCAGGTCTTCCCAGAGGTCTCCCATTACATTACTAACCAGGCCCTGCACTGCTTAGCTTCAGAGGTCTGACAGGATCTGACTTTCACATGCAGGTGTTGTTGAATTTTATCCAGCGTATGAAACAGAGAAAGAACAGTGAAAAGTGAATATGGATTTTGCAAATAATACTTACTACTAATACTATGTACTAATGTTACTAATACAACTGGACAAATCTTCCCAACACTAGTTCCTGATTATATCCTGCTGATTTCGTCCATCCTCTCACTCTCACAGCTGTAAACAAGTGCAACGTCCTGGTGTATTTTTCTGTCTGGAGCCGAGCCACCTTCTCTTTGAACTGTTGGCCTCAGGCAGCCGCCACAGGGCAGCTGAGGCACCAACCTCTGCAGTCAGCGCTATCACCCTCCTAAATAAACAATGGGCGTCAAGATTACAGTAGTCCAACAACTTGCCCACAATATGAGGGAAAGTGTGCGCTCGATTGTTCTGGTTTCACTTTTGATATGAACTTGTAAATGTGTCGCCAAAGTCCATAAATTGAAACAATGCAATAAAAACAGTTGGCTGGCTCATTTTCATTGTTGGACAAGAATTGTGACAGATTTTTTTGATTTTATGAGGTTGATAAAGCACTTGTCTGGACCAATCCCTTCCTTTTTTTTGAAAGAGTGACAAATCCAGGTCAGATTTGAACAGATTTCCACCTGAAATGTCTTTTATGGGCACGACTTATCAGAACGATGTCTTCTATACAACTCTCTTGGCCAACTTCCATTTCTTTGATAACACACTGAGATCTTGGTTCAAAAGACAGAGTAAACAATTCATGGCCATACCTGCATGGAAAGCCTGATCCATCTGACCTGAGAGGCTAAGCTGGACAGAGCCAGGTTAATAATGTGATGGGAGACCTCTGAAAACACCAGGTGCTACAATAGATAGATTGATAGATACATTATTGATCCCTTGTAGGATAAATTCAATACAATGGTCCGGCTGTGGGATACCAAACTGTTGTTGTGTCCTTAGGCAAGACACTTCACCCACATTGCCAAAAATGGGTCTAGTGTGTGTGTGAGTGTGAATGATTTGTGGTGGTCAGAAGGGGCTGATGGCATAGATTAGAGGTCGAGCTTTCGTCAGTCTACCCGAGGGCAGCTGTAGCGACAGTAGTTACAGGTTAATAAGTAAGTACGTAAGTAAAGTTTATTTGTATAGCGCCTTTCACAGACCAGGATCACAAAGCGCTTCACTGATAAAAATAATACAGATTATACCAGGGTTTTTGGGTGTCATCACTAATACTCCAGCAAGTAAAGCTGCAAATACATGTTTCCAGTTGCAACCCAGTCCAGTTCATTTACTTTCTAGCATTGACTAAAGTAAATACAATATAAATTCTTATAAACGCAAACACTGCACACACTGTCCTCTTCCAAACTGCACCTCAAACTCTGGGTTGTGAACACCCAGTGAACACCCAGTTATCGTTTTGTTTTTTCTCTAATGTTTCTTTTGTAATTTTCTTCTGTTTTACCTACCGAGGGACAACAGATGGAAATGAGCATTTTATTTGAATTTGGCGCATTTACACTGCACTACATATGTTCATTAATACGCACTACCCCAGCCAAATGACTAAAACAAAAAACATAATCACGAATCAAAACAAAGGAAAGGGCTGCACAATGTTAAGCCACTGAATACAGTATGTGGGTCTTAAGACAGGACTTTGCTGTGACTCCCCGTTTACAACCCAGTAAGTCTTACGCAACGTGTCCTTACTCTTGGGTTCAGCGAATCTCTTGAGGACAGAGGCTCCACTCTGTACTCCAATCGTCACCCACAAAACCAGTCCTCCTCATTTGCATTAAACATTGGTGGCACAGTAACACACTTTTGGCGTCCCACTCCCATCGCCTGCGGGGCCTGTGGACTCACTCAGACTGACTGAATTCAAGAAGGTTTCATGGGGGTTAATTTACTCTTTGAAACAGGACAAGCGATAGGATTACCCTCCCCACAGACCGTCCTGCGTCGCCTTTTGAATTTATAAATGGAAGGACACACCTAGAAAAACAGCAGTGTCCAAGCAACCTCTCCTTGCCAGATCATTATGCAGATTGCGGGATCTTGGGAGCACTAAGCATTTTTATGTATTACAAGCAAAGAGAACACCTTGGCAATTTGTTTTGTGAATTAAATGGGATTGGATGTCCAAAAAATAACAAGAACTACCTCTGTGTTCCCTGAAAAAAGAAAAAAAAAGAGGCGTCGCAACTAGATGAAAGCGGGGGGAGTTGGAATGGAAGGGAGTGATTGATTTTCATGGCTCCTTTTTAAGCGGGTCTCTCTGGAGGCCTTGGATAACGTGAGCAGAGCACAGGCACAAAAAGAGGAAATTGAGAAACACCAGAGTCGACAGAAGGAGCAGAGGGCAGACATAATAAAGAAGTCAGTGCTTTGACCTGCACGCATCGCAAAAAACCTCTATCTATGTATGTATACCAATTGTGCGCTTACCATTCAATTCAATTCAATTCTCTTTATTGACAACATTTCAGCAAGTCCTACACATACTAGTTTCTAAAGTTTGTAAGTGCTAAATTATACCTTTATATATTTCTCGCTTTGGAAATAATTTGTGATTTCAATATTTTTTATTAAGATTAAGATAACCTTCATTTGTCCCAAAGTGGGGAGATAACTATACTAATTAAAATACAATCAAATGTCTCTAACTCTACTGTATCATCAAAGAAAGTATAAATTATCTTTCTTTAACATAATAAAGAAGTATGAAATCGCTTAGCATTTTCTTATTCCCACAAATACAGATTTTGAGGACAGTAAATTCTAAATGTCACAATGGTCTCCCATCCTGACTTCTAAACCAATCTCTAGACCCATTAGAAGAAAAAAAAAACACCCCCTTACGCCACTTCCCTGATCCCCCCCACTCTGGCTGGGAACCTAATGAAAAGGAGAGAAGGAAAAAAAAGTAGTATAGAAGGGAGAGAATTAGAATGAGAAAGAAACAAATAAATGAAATAATTTGTCTGAAGAGTTGCTGCTCTCGAGTGGTTTTCAGTTTTAAAAATATTTCATGGAAAGTCAGCACAAAGAGGTATTGTCTGTTGCAGTAAAAGTGTATAAACTGTGAGACTTTTAGAAAGACAATCAATAAATCCATCAACCTTCATTTGTAAAGCACTTTTCCTACAAAGTGCTTCACAGCCCACAGCACACAAAGTTTAAATCACATAAATCATAAACATTAAAATCACATGGAACATCAAAAAACCTAAAAAATAATGAATAAAAAAAAAACATTAAAATCTCAATCACAGGGTAATAAAAACATTAAAATCACACATGTAATAAAAACATTAAAATCACACAGGTAATAAAACATTAAAATCACACGGTTAATTAAAAACATTAAAATCATACACAGGTAATTAACAAATCCAACACGTTTTATCCATTAAAATAAAAGTATGAAACGCGCAGCAAGCATGTTATTCCTCTCGTCTTTGTTTCTTGGATAAACTCCGACGTGATTGCTCTTTTCTTACATATATTCTTGAGTGTAAATAGTCATTATAGAAAAATATGTTGTTTTATGCTTCTGTTGTATCTGCATCACTGGTAAACCACAACCATCACTTCTGAAGACCTGAAAGTACCATATGTGACATTCTTGAGGTGGCATGAGCTGCATGGTTCAATTCATTTACAAATAAATAAATAAGACACAATAGATATTTTTTATGTGAACTATTCTGGCCAAGTATGAGTCCGGTTTGTGGAGCTGAAAACCATCCTCACACTGGGGCATTATAGAAAACTATTTTATATAACTTCTGTATTCTCAATGCTAAAAGAGAAAAATTATTGAAACCCGTCCAATGTATTCCTCTCACAAAAACATTGGCAATGGTATAATTACTAAACAGATAAATTAAATATTGGTCGGGACAATAGCACAACAGGTGGTAAAAACAAATTCTGGCTATCTGCCCTAAACTCCTTCCATGGCCTGTTATACGTTATTTTAAAGCAACCACATCATATATTCAACTCCAAGTAATTAACCCAAAACACAATTAGAAACAATCCATTATCAATCTGTATATAAATATGTTGATGTGTAAATAAGCTATTCTTAATTAACTAATTTTGTTCAGAAAAAATATAAATAAAAAGAATAATATGAAAAACCCATATTCAATAAAAGTTTTTATTTTTGTCAGTTTTTTTTCTTCTTCCCACTCCTTTTCGAGTATCTGCAAGTGTTTCTCTTGTCTATTTAATATCTATAATTGCAAATTATGTAAATGTACCTCAGGGTTATTTATGCACAATTTTGATATTCTGCTTTTGTTTCTTGAACACTTGTTGGCTCAAAATAAACATGGCTTAATTATTTGTTTAGAAAACCTTCATAACCCAAAGTAAGTGCAAAAAAATTAAACTTAACAAAATATTAGCTATAAACATGCAAAAAAAAAAAGTGTTGCTCCCTTCCTTGTCTTTAATTAAAATGAGTCACTTCCAAAGCATAATACTTGCTAACGGCTAACGGCATTAGCACCAACCTCCTGTTTATTTGCAGACAAACAAACCACCTTTAACAAAATTGAGCTGGAAACCCCGACCTCGTGTGACAAAGATGCAATAGGAAGTTGGCGGTTAGAAGATGAAAACTGCACGGCCGGTGAGTGGGGGGCCACGGGGATAAAGGGCTCTGCAGCTCTGAATGTCACACTAATAAAGCTCGACTGGATATCCAGGTTCCGGCGCTCAGCTGAGGAATGACACAAGCAAAGGGAGAAGGGAGAAAAAGTCCAGATAAGACGGAATCCAAGGCATACGGGATCAAAGATGGAGGTGTCGAGAGCTGCGAAATGTCGTATTAAAACTCCCCCATTCCCCCCAAACCAACGGGCTTACACTGTCATGTCCCAGTTCTGAGGCTCCGGGCTCCGACAGACAGAAAGAGAGGGAATAAATTGGGGGGAAAAAAAGAAAAAGAGTGACATCACACTGCAAAAAGTGATGAAAAATAAGTTAAACATCTAAACATGGGGCGACAGTAGCTCAGTTTGTAGAGCATTGGCCTTCAGGCCTGAAGGTTGTGGGTTCAATTCCCACCTCTACACCTTCTCCACCGACTCCCACTGATGACTGCTGTCGTTGTGTCCTTGGGCAAGACACTTAACCCCACTTTGCCCAAAGCCCCCACTGAAAGATCAAGGCTATGCTCACACTCAGAGAGCAGCCGTCCTCCTGTGGACTCACCACCTGCAGAGGGTCAGTGAGGGGCTGGTGCTATGAGACTTGGGTGGCATCTCTGACTGTCACCCCCCTGACCCAGAAATGGATTAAAGGGTAGAAAATGGATGGATGGATGGATCTAAAGGCTCAAATTTAACAAAGTGTTTTGTAAATGATATGCCAAGATTAAACAAGATTTGCAAATGGGACAAAGCAAAATGATCTTGTTTTAAATAAATATATTATCTGACTTGTATACTGTAGAAGGTAAAGGTGCACTTTATTGATCCCCGTAGGGCAATTCATCCTCTGCATTTGACCCATCCTGATGCCGCTAAGCCTTACGTCAGGAGCAGTGGTCGCTGTAGTAACAGCGCCCAGGAACCCATCTCCAGATGTTGGTGCTCGGCTTGGTCAGGACTACCAGAGCTGGAAGATTTAACCTAGTGTGCATGTTTTTAGTGGTAGGGGAAACCGGAGCATCCTAAGCAAGCACGGGGAGAACATGCAAACTCCACTCTGAAAGACACCGTTCCGACCGGGATTCGAACCAAGGACCTTCTTGCTGAGAGGCGAGAGTGTTATCCACTCAGCCACCGTGCCATCCTTAGCCTGTGTTTATCTGTATGTTTTTAAAAGTGAAGCCCTTTGTGATCCTGGTCTGTGAAAGACGCTATACAAATAAACTTTACTTACTCAAATAAAGAAGACAACTCGATTCAAGAAAAACTACCTCATATTCTAAAACTTTGCAGTGCATATAGAATTACGGTTTACTTAAGAGACAAAAAACTTTCAAAATCCAGTTGCTGAAGAGTTTTGTATAATCATAATAGTAATCTCTTCAGAATACAAAAAAGAAAAGTGTAATTGTTTGGAACAGAAGCAAAATAATTACAAAATATCTGGCAAACGTCCAATTTGTTATTGTTAAAAATGATGAGTTTTGTGGTCAACACTGGCTGCCATACACACAAGTAAAAAGTGGAATCATTTTAATTTGTGGAACACAATGGAGAATGTTGTGTATAACTACCATATGGTTCTGCCAGAATGGTGCCATCTTCAATCAATCAATCAAAGTTTATTTGTAGAGCGCCTTTCATACACAGGGCAACACAAAGCGCTTCACAGTCCACATCACAAATCATCACATAAAACAAACACCAGAATCACAATTAAAACATTAGAATCACACAAAAGATTAAAACACAATTAAAACATTAAAATCACACAAAAGATTAAAACACAATTAAAACATTAAAATCACACAAAAGAATAAAACCATTAAAACTTTCAAAATTACACAAGAAATTTAAAAAAAAAACAAAAAAAAAAAACAGTGCATTAGAAATGCAGATAAAATCCTTCAGTTGTATGCACAGGCAAACAGAACAGTCTTTAACCTGGATTTGTACATTGACAGAGTAGACGCCTCCCTCACATTTTCAGGGAGATTGTTCCAGATCTTAGCTGCATAGATCTGAAACGCAGCCTCCCCATGTTTGGTTCTCACTCTGGGCACCAGCAGGAGGCCAGTCCCTGTGCTCCTCAGAGTCCGGGCCGGTTCATATGACACCAACATGTCACTAATGTATTCTGGTGCAAGGCCATGGAGAGACTTGTACACAAGCAGAGCTGTTTTAAAATCTATTCTCTGAGCCACAGGAAGCCAGTGCAGAGACCTGAGGACCGGACTAATATGGTCATACTTCCTGGTTCCTGTCAGGACTCTAGCTGCTGCATTTTGGATGTACTGCAGCTGCTTACAGGTCTGTTTGGACAGACCTGTAAGCAGGCCATTGCAGTAGTCTAGCCTACTGGAGACAAATGCATGGACAAGAATCTCCAAGTCTGCCCTGGACACTATATTTGGCAATGTTCTTCAGATGGTAAAAAGCTGTTGATGTTATTGATTTTATGTGGCTATTGAAGTTTAGGTCTGAGTCCAGTATTACCCCCAAATTTCTGACCTTGTCTGAAGGAAGTAGGGAGAGAGACTGAAGTTGACAAATGACGCCCTCTCTTTGTTTCTGGGGACCAAAGACAATGATTTCGGTTTTGTCTGCATTTAGCTGGAGGAAATTATTTTGCATCCAGTCACTGATCTGTTGGATACAGTGAAGGAGCAAACCCAGTGGTCCATGTTCTCCTGCAGTCAGTGAGACATAGATCTTGATTATTGATTTTGGCAGTTTCTTTATCACACAACTTAGAATAGCACGTTCTGGAAGAATGTTTGAGACTTGGTGAATAGTTTGTTAATGAATCAGTCAAAATGTGATACTTTCCACAGAGGGGGAAACAAATGAACACTGCTAATTCAATAACGTATATGTACTTTATGGATGTATGATTGACAAGTGGGAGGACCAATAGTCCTGATGATCCACCCATAAGTAGAAAATCCTCCTACATAGGGCTGGGCGATATGGCAAAAAAAAAAAATCTCCGATTTTTTCACACCAAATCCGATTTTCGATTTTAATCGATTTATTTTTTTTTATTTAAAAACAAACTACAACTGGCAAAGAAATAGATTTTCCTTTATGCAGTTTAATCTAAATCCCCATGGAGCATAAGTGTAACAGGAATTAAGCCTTAAAACATGCTTGTAAACGAGGTGGCTCTGTAAACAGTGAAAATGTAGCTTAACAGTTTTATAATAACTTCACTTACAATGACACTATGCACCTTCAAAATAACTTAAATCACACAAACAAGGCCCATCGCAAATATATCAATCCTATTAAACACATGCATTATTTACATGAAATATCACATTTTTAAAACTGATTACTCAAAATAGAAATGTTGTAACAGTCTTTTCCAAAAGCCTCCTCGGGTTTTCATGCTTGTTCTTTCAACTGTGCCTGAGTAACTGTGCTGTAGTACAACGCTCGGTCCAGCTGGTGGCGCTAATACTAACTTTAGTGACTCCCGCATTGTGCGAGCTTCCTGTTTACATTCTGATGCTGTAGCTAACAGCTACTGTAGCAGCTACTGTAGCAGCTACTGTAGCTAACAGACGGGGGGGGAACACGTTGTTTGTATCAGAGCAATGAGAGCAATGTGTGAGACGTGTCTTTCCCCAAAGTGCAGCGGCTCAGTGGGACACGAGTGTGTGCGCGCCACGGACACGGGAGTGCGCTTTGGAATAACGAGCGTGAGAGAGCGTGAAAGATGTGGCGTACGAACATGGCGTACGAACATAACGAACGGAGCCTGCGTGCGTGTGTGTGTGTGTTTTGGCGATTAAATAAAGTCTGATTCTTGAACGTTTGAAGTGTTATTGCAACAGCACCAACTGTGAGAGCGAGCATCAGGCCAGAGGGAGACTGTTAGCATTAGGTTAGCTTCAAAATGACTGCTCAACACCATAGACCCGCGGTTAGCGCGTTAGCGCTGTAGTTCTGCGCTGGAGAAAATAAAAATCGAATTTTTAAAAAAAGAAATCGCCCTAAACGTAAAACTCGAATTAATGATTAAAATCGATTAATCGCCCAGCCCTACTCCTACATAACTTTAATATTTGTCCATAAATGTCCTTTAATGGTCCGGATCATCATTACTAGGAACGCTTAAACAAAAAACACAACCGATACTGCTGAAAACACGTTCGCTCATGTCTCTTTGTCCTGAAATCAGATTTTTTGGATAAAAAGAGACGACCAACCTCAGATCTCGGCCCAGAGAATCAAATAATGACTCACATGCATTATCTAGTGAAAGTATGCAAAAGATGAAGAGTTCTTGAAGAGCTATGGTCTGTTAAAATCTTAGTTGGAGTCTTAGAAAAAGTTCTTGAGGTCTAACTAAAAGGACAGTGGTGATGATCCAGGACGCTCAACATTCAACAACATTTATCAACACTAATGGACATTGGTCATCTGCCCCTTATAGACCAATACCAATGTGTTTTCTATTTTTTTTCTTGTGTTTGAGCTGTTTGATTCTCTGATTTTGTAAAGTTCTCCAAGAAAACTACTGCTGTTATTTAGGACTAAACAAGAATACATTGTATAGAATTGGTCTGATTTGTCGTTTAACTTTTCCAAGAATCTCTCCATCGGGACAAAACATATTATTTATTGTAAACAAACTTAGGCATTCCATCTTTAAACCTTTAATCCCTGTGAATGTAACACAAACAGCAATCTTGACCTATTCAAACATGTCTTTGGGATTAGAACACAAGATGCTATCTGCGTTTCAAAGCCAGGTTTTTAACTGTAGGGCAAGTAGTCACAGAGGAATTTGTCAAAAAGGCTGTGTGCTTCAGCGTATTATTAATTCCTGCTCACATACCCACAGCAAAGAATGCCACAAAAGAAAATGTCATGACACTTTCACAAAAGCCCCCAAAAGTTCTGAGAAAGCCATAAAGAAGCCGAGAATGAATAGTGAAAGAGGAGGCAGATCTGTGAGGGCAAGTTTAGCAGGGCAAAGGTAAATCAGGCAAAAATAAGTAAAAGTCAGAGTGAAGAAAGAGAGAGAAGGCACGGAAATATGAATGTTTGTTGATATCCC